GCAGGCGGCGGCCAGGATCCTCTGGGCGGCCTCGGGGGTGTGGCAGGTGGGGTAGAGGGGCTGCAGGACGTAGTTGGCGAAGGTGAGGGCGATGACGGCCTGGTTGGTGGGGTAAATCACCAGCACCGAGATCCACAGCCGCAGGAATCTGGGGAAAAAAACAGGGAATTTGGGAAAATCCGGGCAAAAAATGGTGAAATCTGGGTTGGGGGAAAATCAGGGAAAAATTTGGGGGGGGTGGGTGAAATTTGGGGCGAAAAACGGGGGGTTTTGGGTCAAAAATTGGCGATTTTATTCTGATTTTTGGGCGATTTTGGGGTCGAATTTTGGGGGGTTTTGGGGTCGAATTTGGGGCAAAAATGAGAAATTTTGGGATGAATTTTTGGGGCGATTTTGAGGTGGATTTGGGGTGAAATTTGGGGCGAAAAATGGGGGGTTTGGGGTCAAAAATAGGCGATTTTATTCTGATTTTTGGGCGATTTTGGAGTCGAATTTTGGGGGGTTTTGGGGTCAAATTTGGGTGAAAAAATGAGAAATTTGGGGCTGAATTTTTGGGGCGATTTTGAGGTGGATTTGGGGTGAAATTTGGGGCTAAAAACGGGGGGTTTTTAGGTCAAAATTGGGGCAAAAAAGGGTGATTTTTGGGTGGAATTTCGAGCGAAATTGGAGCCAAAAATGGCACATTTTGGGTCGAATTTTGGGGAGATTTTGGGACAAATTTGGGGTCAAATTTGGGTGAAAAAATGAGCAATTTTGGGTTGAATTTTTGGGGTGATTTTGAGGTGGATTTGGGGTGAAATTTGGGGTGAAAAATGGGGGGTTTTGGGTCAAAATTGGGGTAAAAAAAGGTGATTTTTGAGTGGAATTTGGAGCGAAATCGGAGCCAAAAATGGCACATTTTGGGTCGAATTTTGGGGAGATTTTGGGACAAATTTGGGGTCAAATTTGGGTGAAAAAATGAGAAATTTTGGGATGAATTTTTGGGGTGATTTTGAGGTGGATTTGGGGTGAAATTTGGGGCGAAAAACGGGGGGTTTGGGGTCAAAAATAGGGGATTTTATTCTGATTTTTGGGCGATTTTGGAGTTGAATTTCGGGGGGTTTTGGGGTCAAATTTGGGGCAAAAATGAGAAATTTTGGGTTGAATTTTTGGGGCGATTTTGAGGGGGATTTGGGGTGAAATTTGGGGCGAAAAACGGGGGGTTTGGGGTCAAAAATTGGCGATTTTATTCTGATTTTTGGGTGATTTTCGGGTTGAATTTTGGGGGGTTTTGGGGTCAAATTTGGGGCAAAAACGAGAAATTTTGGGCTGAATTTTTGAGGCGATTTTGAGGTGGATTTGGGGCGAAAGTGGGGTAAAAAAATGGAGGGTTTTTAGGCCAAAATTGGGGCAAAAAAAGGCGATTTTTGAGTGGAATTTGGAGCGAAATCGGAGCCAAAAATGGCACATTTTGGGTGGAATTTTGGGGAGATTTTGGGACAAATTTGGGGTCAAATTTGGGTGAAAAAATTATCAATTTGGGGATGAATTTTTGAGGCGATTTTGAGCTGAATTTGGGGTGAAATTTGGGGCGAAAAATGGGGGGTTTTGGGTCAAAAATTGGCGATTTTATTCTGAATTTTGGGCGATTTTTGAGTCGAATTTCGGGGGGTTTTGGGGTCGAATTTTGGGGTCAAATTTGGGTGAAAAAACGAGATATTTGGGCAATTTTGGGCCAAATCTTTGGGGTGAAATTGGGGGGATTTCAGGTCAAATTTGGAGGCGATTTTGATGCGATTTTTGGCCACTTTTTGAGTTGATTTTTGGTCGATTTTGAGCAGATTTTTAACCCAAATTTTGGCCCATTTTGAACCCCATTTTTTTCTCATTTTAACCCAAATTTTTCCCCCATTTTAATCCAAATTTTTCCCCATTTTAACCCAAATTTTTTTCCCATTTTAACCCAATTTTTTCCCCATTTTAACCCAAATTTTTGACCCATTTTAATCCAAATTTTTCCCCATTTTAACCTGAATTTTTTTCCCATTTTTTTCTGAACTTTAACCCGAATTTTGGTCAATTTTTGGGCTGTTTTAACCTGAAATTTTTTCCCATTTTAACCCGAATTTTGGGCCTTTTTCTCCCCGATTTTCGTCCCTAAAAAGGCCAATTTTGGGTCGATTTTCATCCCTAAAAATGCCAATTTTGGGTCGATTTTTGGCCCTAAAAATGCTGATTTGGGGGCAATTTTTTCGCCGTTTTCTCCCCAAATTTTGGGGGTTTAATTTTGGGCTGTTTTAACCCGATTTTTCCCCCATTTTAACCCAATATTTTTCCCAATTTAACCCAATATTTTTCCCATTTTCACCCGAATTTTTTTCCAATTTTTTTTCCCATTTTAACCCGAATTTTTTCCCAATTTTAACCCGAATTTTGGTCAATTTTTGGGCTGTTTTAACCTGAATTTTTTCCCCATTTTAACCCAAATTTTGGTCAATTTTTGGCCCGTTTTAACCTGAATTTTGGTCCTTTTTCTCCCCGATTTTCGTCCCTAAAAATGCCGATTTTGGGGCGATTTTCGACCCTAAAAATGCCGATTTTGGGTCGATTTTTGGCCCTAAAAATGCCAATTTTGGGGCGATTTTTTCACCGTTTTCTCCCCCATTTTAACCCGATTTTTTCCCCCTTTTAACCCCTTTTTTTTCCCCAGTTTAACCCTAATTTTTTTCCCATTTTAACCTGAATTTTGGGCCCATTTTAACCCAATATTTTTTCCCATTTTAACCCGAAGTTTTTCCCCATTTTAACCCGAATTTTTTCCCCCATTTTAACCCGCATTTTGGTCAACTTTTGGGCTGTTTTAACCTGAATTTTTTCCCATTTTAACCCGAATTTTTTTCCCATTTTAACCCAAATTTTTCCCCATTTTAACCCGAGTTTTGGGCCCATTTTAACCCCATTTTTTCCCACATTTTAACCCGAATTTTTTCCCATTTTTTTCCCCATTTTAACCCAAATTTTTTCCCAATTTTAACCCGAATTTTTTTCCCATTTTTTACCCGTTTTAACCCGAATTTTGGTCCTTTTTCTCCCCGATTTTCGTCCCTAAAAATGCCAATTTTGGGTCGATTTTTCATCCCTAAAAATGCCAATTTTGGGTCAATTTTCATCCCTAAAAAGGCCGATTTTGGGTCGATTTTTGTCCCTCAAAAGGTCGATTTTGGGGCGATTTTCGGCCCTAAAAATGCCGACTTCGGGGCAATTTTTTCGCTGTTTTCTCCCCAAATTTTGGGGTTTTAAATTTTGGGCCCATTTTAACTCAATATTTTTCCCCCTTTTAACCCAATTTTTTTCCCATTTTAACCCGATTTTTAACCCAATTTTTTCCCATTTTAACCCAAATTTTGGGCCCATTTTAACCTGAATTTTGGGCCTTTTTCGACCCAATTTTTTCCCCATTTTAACCCCATTTTTTTTCCCATTTTAACCCCATTTTTTTCCCATTTTAACCCAAATTTTGGGCCCAATTTAACCCAAACTTTTTCCCCGTTTTAACCCGACTTTTTTCCCATTTTTTTCCCAATTTTAACCCGAATTTGGGTCCATTTTAACCCCAATTTTTTCCCATTTTTTCCCCCATTTTAACCCGAATTTTGGTCAATTTTTGGGCTGTTTTAACCCGAATTTTGTCCCCATTTTAACCTGAATTTTGGTCCTTTTTCTCCCCGATTTTCGTCCCTAAAAATGCCGATTTTGGGTCGATTTTTGTCCCTAAAAATGCCAATTTTGGGTCGATTTTCGTTCCTAAAAACGCCAATTTTGGGTCGATTTTTTGGCCGTTTTTTGCCCAAATTTGGGTGTTTTTTCCCCAAAGACTCACCCCAGGAGCCCCCCGAAGACGTGGCAGACGTAGGCGTAGTCCCCGCCCGCCCGGGGGATGGCCACGCCCAGCTCCGCCAAGTTTTCCCCATTTCAACCCAAATTTTGGGCCCATTTTAACCCAAATTTTTCCCCTTTTAACCCCATTTTTTTCCCATTTTAACCCTATTTTTAACCCAATTTTTCCCCATTTTAACCCAATTTCTTTTCCCATTTTTTTCCCCATTTTAACCCGAATTGTTTTCCCATTTTAACCCGAATTTTTTCCCCCATTTTAATCCAAATTTTTCCCCATTTTAACCCAAATTTTTGACCCATTTTAATCCAAATTTTTCCCCATTTTAACCCGAATTTTGGGCCCATTTTAACCCAATTTTTTCCCCATTTTAACCCAAATTTTTTCCCATTTTTTCCCCATTTTAACCTGAATTTTGGTCAATTTTTGGCCTGTTTTAACCCGAATTTTTTCCCCATTTTAACCCCATTTTTTTCCCATTTTAACCTGAATTTTGGTCCTTTTTCTCCCCGATTTTCGTCCCTAAAAATGCCGATTTTGGGTCAATTTTCATCCCTAAAAATGCCGATTTTGGGTCGATTTTTGGCCCTAAAAATGCTGATTTGGGGGCAATTTTTTCGCCGTTTTCTCCCCAAATTTTGGGGGTTTAATTTTGGGCTGTTTTAACCCGATTTTTCCCCCATTTTAACCCAATATTTTTCCCAATTTAACCCAATATTTTTCCCATTTTAACCCGAATTTTTTCCCTTTTTTTTCCCATTTTAACCCGAATTTTTTCCCAATTTTAACCCAAATTTTGGTCAATTTTTGGGCTGTTTTAACCCGAATTTTTTCCCCATTTTAACCCAATTTTTTTCCCATTTTAACCCAATTTTTTTCCCATTTTAACCCGAATTTTGGGCCTTTTTCGACCCAATTTTTTCCCCATTTTAACCCCATTTTTTTTCCCATTTTAACCCCATTTTTTTCCCATTTTAACCCAAATTTTGGGCCCATTTTAACCCAATTTTTTTCCCCGTTTTAACCCGAATTTTTTCCCAATTTTTTTCCCATTTTAACCTGAATTTTTTTCCCATTTTAACTCAAATTGTTTCCCCATTTTAACCCGATTTTTAACCCATTTTTTTTCCCATTTTAACCTGAATTTTTTCCCATTTTTTTTCCCATTTTAACCCGAATTTTTTCCCCATTTTAACCCAATTTTTCCCCCCATTTTAACCTGAATTTTGGTCAATTTTTGGCCTGTTTTAACCCCAATTTTTGACCCGTTTTAACCCAAATTTTGGTCCTTTTTCTCCCCCATTTTTGCCCCTAAAAACGCCAATTTTGGGTCGATTTTTTCGCCGTTTTTTGCCCAAATTTTGGTTTATTTTATTTAATTTATTTTTAATTTCAGACTCACCCGAGGAGCCCCCCGAAGACGTGGCAGACGTAGGCGTAGTCCCCGCCCGCCCGGGGGATGGCCACGCCCAGCTCCGCCAATTTTTTTTCCCATTTTAACCCCAATTTTGGGCCCATTTTAACCCAATATTTTTTCCCATTTTAACCCCATTTTTAACCCAATTTTTCCCCATTTTAACCCAATTTTTTTTCCCATTTTAACCTGAACTTTTGGCCCATTTTAACCTGATTTTTGGGCCCATTTTAACCCAATTTTTTTTCCCATTTTAGTTTGAACTTTTGGCCCATTTTAACCCGATTTTTTTCCCAGATTTTTTTCCCATTTTAATCCGAATTTTCAACCTGTTTTAACCCGAATTTTGGGCCAATTTTGGTCCTTTTTCTCCCCGATTTTCGTCCCTAAAAACGCCAATTTTGGGTCGATTTTTGTCCCTCAAAAGGTCGATTTTGGGGCGATTTTCGGCCCTAAAAATGCCGACTTCGGGGCAATTTTTTCGCTGTTTTCTCCCCAAATTTTGGGGTTTTAAATTTTGGGCCCATTTTAACTCAATATTTTTCCCCCTTTTAACCCAATTTTTTTCCCATTTTAACCCGATTTTTAACCCAATTCTTTCCCATTTTAACCCAAATTTTGGGCCCATTTTAACCCGAATTTTGGGCCTTTTTCGACCCAATTTTTTCCCCATTTTAATCCAATTTTTTTCCCATTTTAACCCAAATTTTTTCCCCCATTTTAACCCGAATTTTGGTCAATTTTTGGCCCGTTTTAACCTGAATTTTTTCCCAATTTTAACCCGATTTTTAACCCATTTTTTTCCCATTTTAACCCAATTTTTCCCCCATTTTAACCTGAATTTTGGGCCTTTTTTGACCCAATTTTTTTCCCATTTTAACCCCATTTTTTCCCCCATTTTAACCCGAATTTTGGTCCTTTTTCTCCCCCATTTTCGTCCCTAAAAACGCCAATTTTGATGCGATTTTTTGGCCGTTTTTTGCCCAAATTTGGGTGTTTTTTCCCCAAAGACTCACCCCAGGAGCCCCCCGAAGACGTGGCAGACGTAGGCGTAGTCCCCGCCCGCCCGGGGGATGGCCACGCCCAGCTCTGCCAAGTTTTTTTCCCATTTTAACCCCAATTTTTTCCCCATTTTAACCCAATTTTTTTCCCCATTTTAACCTGAATTTTGGGCCTTTTTCGACCCATTTTTTTCCCCATTTTAACCCCATTTTTTTTCCCCTTTTAACCCCATTTTTTTCCCATTTTAACCCAAATTTTGGGCCCATTTTAACCCAAATTTTTTCCCCGTTTTAACCCAAATTTTTTCCCATATTTTTCCCAATTTTAACCCAAATTTTGGTCAATTTTTTTCCCGTTTTAACCCGAATTTTGGTCCTTTTTCTCCCCGATTTTCGCCGCTAAAAATGTCGATTTTGGGGCGATTTTTTGGCCGTTTTCTCCCCAAATTTTGGGGTTTTAATTTTGGGCCCATTTTAACCCAATTTTTTCCCATTTTAACCCCATTTTTTCCCATTTTAACCCAATTTTTTTCCCATTTTAACCCAAATTTTTTTTCCCATTTTAACCCGAATTTTTTCCCCATTTTAACCCAAATATTTCCCCATTTTAACCCGAGTTTTGGGTCCATTTTAACCCCAATTTTTTCCCATTTTTTCCCCCATTTTAACCTGAATTTTGGTCAATTTTTGGGCTGTTTTAACCCGAATTTTGTCCCCATTTTAACCCGAATTTTGGTCCTTTTTCTCCCCGATTTTCGTCCCTAAAAACGCCGATTTTGGGTCGATTTTCATCCCTAAAAATGCCGATTTTGGGTCGATTTTCGCCCCTAAAAATGCCAATTTTGGGGAGATTTTTTGGCCTAAAAATACCAATTTTTAGGCGATTTTTTGGCCGTTTTTTGCCCAAATTTGGGGTTTTTTTCCCAAAGACTCACCCCAGGAGCCCCCCGAAGACGTGGCAGACGTAGGCGTAGTCCCCGCCCGCCCGGGGGATGGCCACGCCCAGCTCCGCCAAGTTTTCCCCATTTCAACCCAAATTTTGGGCCCATTTTAACCCAAATTTTTCCCCTTTTAATCCCATTTTTTTCCCATTTTAACCCGATTTTTAACCCAATTTTTTCCCCATTTTAACCCAAATTTTTTTCCCATTTTTTTCCCCATTTTAACCCGAATTTTTTTCCCATTTTAATCCAAATTTTTCCCCATTTTAACCCGAATTTTTTTCCCATTTTAACCCAAATTTTTTCCCCATTTTAACCCAAATTTTTTTCCCATTTTAATCCAAATTTTTCCCCATTTTAACCTGAGTTTTTCCCTGTTTTAACCTGAATTTTGGGTTCAATTTATCCCAAATTTTGGGCCCATTTTAACCTGATTTTTTCCCATTTTAACCCAAATTTTTGACCTGTTTTAACCCGAATTTCGGTCCTTTTTCTCCCCCATTTTTACCCCTAAAAACGCCAATTTTGATGCGATTTTTTCACCGTTTTTTGCCCAAATTTCGGTTTATTTTATTTAATTTATTTTTAATTTCAGACTCACCCGAGGAGCCCCCCGAAGACGTGGCAGACGTAGGCGTAGTCCCCGCCCGCCTTGGGGATGGCCACGCCCAGCTCCGCCAATTTTTCCCCATTTTAACCCCAATTTTGGGCCCATTTTAACCCAAATTTTTTTCCCCTTTTAACCCAATTTTTTTCCCATTTTAACCCGAATTTTGGGTCGATTTTAGTCCTTTTTCTCTCCCATTTTCATCCCTCAAAATGCCAATTTTGGGGCAATTTTTTTGCCGTTTTCTCCCCAAATTTTGGGGGTTTAATTTTGGGCTGTTTTAACCCGATTTTTCCCCCATTTTAACCCAATATTTTTCCCAATTTAACCCAATATTTTTCCCATTTTAACCCGAATTTTTTCCCTTTTTTTTCCCATTTTAACCTGAATTTTTTCCCCATTTTAAACCCATTTTTCCCCCATTTTAACCCGAATTTTGGTCCTTTTTCTCCCCCATTTTTACCCATAAAAACGCCAATTTTGACGCGATTTTTTGGCCGTTTTTTGCCCAAATTTGGGTGTTTTTTTCCCCAAAGACTCACCCCAGGAGCCCCCCGAAGACGTGGCAGACGTAGGCGTAGTCCCCGCCCGCCCGAGGGATGGCCACGCCCAGCTCCGCCAATTTTTCCCCATTTTAACCCCATTTTTTCCCCATTTTAACCCAATTTTTTCCCCATTTTAACCCCATTTTTTTTCCCATTTTAACCCCATTTTTTTCCCATTTTAACCCAAATTTTGGGCCCATTTTAACCCAATTTTTTTCCCCGTTTTAACCCGAATTTTTTCCCAATTTTTTTCCCATTTTAACCTGAATTTTTTTCCCATTTTAACTCAAATTGTTTCCCCATTTTAACCCGATTTTTAACCCATTTTTTTTCCCATTTTAACCTGAATTTTTTCCCATTTTTTTTCCCATTTTAACCCAAATTTTTTCCCCATTTTAACCCAATTTTTTCCCAATTTTAACCCGAATTTTGGTCAATTTTTGGGTTGTTTTAACCCGAATTTTTTTCCCGTTTTAACCCGAATTTTGGTCAATTTTTGGCCCGTTTTAACCCGAATTTTGGGCCGATTTTGGTCCTTTTTCTCCCCGATTTTCGTCCCTAAAAGGGCCGATTTTGGGTCGATTTTCGTCCTTAAAAATGCCAATTTTGGGTCGATTTTTGTCCCTCAAAAGGTCGATTTTGGGGCGATTTTCGGCCCTAAAAATGCCGACTTCGGGGCAATTTTTTCGCTGTTTTCTCCCCAAATTTTGGGGTTTTAAATTTTGGGCCCATTTTAACTCAATATTTTTCCCCCTTTTAACCCAATTTTTTTCCCATTTTAACCCGATTTTTAACCCAATTTTTTCCCCATTTTAATCCAAATTTTCCCCATTTTAACCCGAGTTTTGGGCCCATTTTAACCTAAATTTTTTCCCCATTTTAACCCAAATTTTTTCCCATTTTTTTCCCCATTTTAACCCGAATTTTTTTCCCATTTTAACCCGAATTTTTTTCCCATTTTAATCCAAATTTTTCCCCATTTTAACCCGAATTTTTTTCCCATTTTAACCCAAATTTTTTCCCCGTTTTAACCCAAATTTTTTTCCCATTTTAATCCAAATTTTTCCCCATTTTAACCTGAGTTTTTCCCTGTTTTAACCTGAATTTTGGGTTCAATTTATCCCAAATTTTGGGCCCATTTTAACCTGATTTTTTCCCATTTTAACCCAAATTTTTGACCTGTTTTAACCCGAATTTTGGTCCTTTTTCTCCCCCATTTTTACCCATAAAAACGCCAATTTTGGGTCGATTTTTTCGCCGTTTTTTGCCCAAATTTCAGTTTATTTTATTTAATTTATTTTTTAATTTCAGACTCACCCCAGGAGGCCCCCGAAGACGTGGCAGACGTAGGCGTAGTCCCCGCCCGCTTTGGGAATGGCCACGCCCAGCTCGGCGTAGCAAAGGGCCCCCACGGCGGTGACGGCCCCGGTGACCCCCCAGACCAGCAGGGACGGCCCCACCGCCCCCGAGTGCCACAGCACGCCCTTGGGGGCCACGAAAATCCCAGAACCGATGATGTTCCCTAAAAAAAAATAATAAAAATTGGGGTTAGAGGGGAAAAAACAAAAAAAATGGGATTTTTAGAACCAAAAAATTGGGAATTCTGGCGAAAAAATGGGGTTTTTGGACCAAAAAAAATGGGATTTTTGGACCAAAAAAATGGGATTTTTGGACAAAAAAATGGGATTGTTGGCCAAAAAAAAATGGGGTTTTTGGACCAAAAAAATGGGATTTTTGGACAAAAAAATGGGATTTTTGGACCAAAAAAATGGGATTTTTGGACCAAAAAAAATGGGATTTCTGGATAAAAAAAAATGGAATTTTTGGATAAAAAAAAATGGGATTTTTGGACAAAAAAAATGGGATTTTTAGAACCAAAAACATGGGATTTTTGGAGAAAAAAAAAGGGATTTTTGGACAAAAAAAATGGGATTTTTGGACAAAAAAAATGGGGAAATTTGGGGGGAAAATGGGATTTTTGGACAAAAAAAAATGGGATTTTTGAGCCCAAAAAAATGGGATTTGTGGCAAAAAAATGGGGGGTTTGGGACAAAAAAAAATTGGGATTTCTGGTGAAAAAAATGGGGTTTTTGGAGAAAAAAATGGGATTTGTGGCCCCAGACCAGCAGGGACGGCCCCACCGCCCCCGAGTGCCAAAGGACACCCTTGGGGGCCACGAAAATCCCCGAACCGATGATGTTACCTGGGAAAAATGGGGAAAAAATGGGAAAATTAGCAATTCTGGGGGAAAAATGGGGTTTGGGGAGAAAAAATGGGGCTTTGGGCAAAAAAAATGGGGTTTTTGGACCAAAAAAAATGGGATTTTGGGCAAAAAAAATGGGGTCTTGGGCAAAAAAAATGGGATTTTGGGCAAAAAAAATGGGGTTTTTAGACCAAAAAATGGGATTTTTAGACCAAAAAAATGGGATTTTTGGACCAAAAAAATGGGATTTTTGGACCAAAAAAAAATGGGGTTTTTGGACAAAAAAAAATGGAATTGTTGGACAAAGAAAAATGGGGAAATTTGGGGGGAAAATGGGATTTTTGGACCAAAAAAAATGGGATTTTTGAGCCCAAAAAAATGGGATTTGTGGCAAAAATATGGGGGGTTTGGGACCAAAAAAATTTGAGATTTCTGGTGAAAAAAATGGGGTTTTTGGGGGAAAAAATGGGATTTGTGGCCCCAGACCAGCAGGGACGGCCCCACCGCCCCCGAGTGCCAAAGGACACCCTTGGGGGCCACGAAAATCCCCGACCCGATGATGTTCCCTGGAAAAAAATGATAAAAATTGGGAAAATTAGCAATTCTGGGGGAAAAATGGGGTTTGGGGAGAAAAAATGGGGCTTTGGGCAAAAAAAATGGGATTTTTGGACAAAAAAAATGGGGTTTTGGGCAAAAAAAAATGGGATTTTTGGACCAAAAAAATGAGATTTTGGATAAAAAAATGGGGGTTTTGGATAAAAAAAATCGGGGTTTTGCACAAAAAAAATGGAATTTTTGGACCAAAAAAATGGGATTGTTGGACAAAAAAAAATGGAATTTTTGGACCAAAAAAATGGGGGTTTTGCACAAAAAAAAAATGGGATTTTTGGACAAAAAAAAATGGGATTTTTGGACAAAAAAAATGGGATTCTTGGACTAAAAAAATGGGATTTTTGGACAAAAAAAATGGGATTTTTGGACCAAAAAAATGGGATTTTTGGACAAAAAAAAATGGGATTTTTGGACCAAAAAAATGGGATTTTTGGACCAAAAAAATGGG